GGAACGAGTAAAGAGACTTGTCAGTAACGAGATTGAACTAGGTATGAGGATACCGACGATCGAATCTCGGGCAAGTAACATACTGATGACAAAGGGAATGACGTGTGTTGTTATGCAGTTTGACCGATAAAGATCTTCGTAGAATATGTAGGAGCCAATATGAGCATCGAGGTTCCGCTATTGGTTATTGACTGGAGATGTGTCTCGGTCATGTCTACATAGTTCTCGAACCCGTAGGGTCCGCACGCTTAACGTTCGATGACGATTTGTATTATGAGTTATGTGATTTGATGACCAAAGTTTGTTTGGAGTCCCGGATGAGATCACGGACATGACGAGGAGTCATGAAATGGTCGAGAGGTAAAGATTCATATATTGCAAGGTTATATTCGGACATCAGAATGGTTCTGAGTGATTCAGATATTTTACCGGAGTACCGAGGGGTTACCGGAACCCCCCGGGGAAGTATTGGGCCTGTTGGGCCATATTGGAGGAGAGTAGAAAGGCCACGTGAGGAGGCGCCCCCCCTCCCAAACCGAATTGGACTAGGGGAAGGGGGTGGCCCCCCTCTTTTCCTTCTCCTTCTCTCTCCCTTCCCATTTCCCTCTTCGATGGAAGGAAGGAGGGGGGCGAATCCTACTTCGACTAGGAGTCCAAGTAGGACCCCCCCCCCATGGCGCGCCCCCCTTGGTCGACCACCTCCTCCTCCCCCCTTTATATACAGAGGCGGGGGGCACCCCAAAGGCACAACAGACAATCTCTTAGTCATGTGCGGTGCCCCCCTCCACAGTTCAACACCTCGGTCATATCGTCGTAGTGCTTAGGTGAAGCCCTACATCGGTAACTTCATCATCATCGTCGCCATGCCGTCGTGCTGACGGAACTCTCCCTTGTCCTAAACTGGATCAAGAGCTCGAGGGACGTCATCGTGCTGAACGTGTGCTGAACACGAAGGTGCCGTACTTCGGTACTTGGATCGATTGGATCATGAAGACGTTCGACTACATCAACCGCGTTACAAAACGCTTCCGCTTTCGGTCTACGAGGGTACAAGGACACACTCTCCCCTCTCATTGCTATGCATCTCCTAGTTATATCTTGCGTGATCGTAGAATTTTTTTAAAATTACTACGTTCTCCAACATCATCATTATGGTTTACAGGTGGTGCACATGCCTCGGAATGATAAGGTACTGACCTTATCACATATATGAAAGCAATGGCACACTGATGGGTGGGACCTAAAGAGACAAGATAGCTGCTAGATGCACTCAAGAACCTAACTACTACTACTACAATGTGAGGTTATCACGAGCGCAATAGAGAGACCCAAGTCAAAGAAGGTCATGCCGGCCTGGCGCACACATTTCTTATATATGTTCACATGTGTGAATGGGTCATTGTGGTACCCCCAATTATGTACAAGGGGAGGGCTATGGCCATTTTTACGTACAAGGGGAACACAAGACACAACATAGAGAAAAGCCAGAACACAAAAGACCATAAGAGTAGAGAGAAAGGAAGAAGGATTGGTGCTCGCGAAGGGTGAAAACACACCCAGAGCACCGTAGATAGCTCATTACTCCGATCCCCAAGGCCAGCATAATAGGACCGGAATCTCCTGGGGACTTGTAATCTCCCTCATACACTCATATCAGCCAATCAAGAATAGGAGTAGGGTATTACCATTCCCAAGCGGCATGAACCTGTATAAAATCACTGTGCCACCTTTTTAGATTACTCAAAGGAACCTGTAGCGTTTTTTCCACTGGCCGAACACACAAAATACAATGTATCCTTGATCCCACATGTCTCGAGTTTACGATCCGGAAACTGTAGAAAACAACAGGTTTAACAAAAAAAAGCTCAATGGCATTTGACCAAACACACATGCTGGGCGTGGTGTTTACCATGGACGATATCGGGGGGGTGGATACATACGGATCCTGGGTGAACGACAGGTAATTCAAGGTGGGAAGACGTGTGGGTGGGGGCTTCGGACGTGTGCGGGCGAGAAACTCAAGGCCACTCTTCCTCCGGGCTTTCTTTCCGCACTATTATGGATAGTCAAATAATGGGAAAAATTGGATTCAATTGCAATGCCTAGGCGATGGCTAGAGAGGTACAACTACGGCGTTAGACGAGGAGGGTACAGATGCAGAGCAGGGGCAGGGGTGGAGTGGAAGAAAAGTGGCATGAGAGGAGGGTTTGAGTGGTCCAGGGGTGTTAGGGTCCCATGTGGTGATGGTCTGAACTCCGTAAAGCTCACTGTGCTTGCGTCCGGTTTACAAGAATTCAAACAAACAGACATGTCCACGGACAAATAGGGGTTCATGTTGGGTGTGAAACTACGTCCGAACAACTCGGTCCAGAAGTATGTGGGCATTTTGAGGATCCATATTGAAGATGCCTTTATAATGTTTGCATTCATGCTTGAAAGGAAAAAAACTAGCAGAATGTGATTTGACATAAACAAACATGTTTCACTCTCAAAAGTTCAAACACGCACATCATTCGGTGAAATCAATGACATTACTCTGACTTGGCAAAGTGAAGAAGAATTAGTGAGTCTCTCGAAAATACTTGTATTATTCATGTTCGATGGTACCATAATTTTGTTATTCACTCATTAGCACACTATGTTATAACTAATGGATTACTACCATTTGGCTTGGTTTTGGTCAGGATGGTATCATCAAACTTTGTAAGAGCATCTACAACTAGGCTCCCCCCTCTTCCTTACACCTGGGTGGACGGTCACTGACTGGTCAAGACAACTGACCCAGTCGGGCTCCTCAAACTGGTCCTATACGTTTGGGCTGTCTGGCATCCCTCATATCCAGCCTAAATCTATGGCCAATATGGGGAGGCCTAGACGCCTCTGCCACGCCAGCCTGGTGCACCATGGCCCGCACCGACCCAACTCTGTTCCTACTAAAATCCTCACCCGAAGCAAACCCTAGCTTTACTTCACTCTCCGTCGCTTCCCCTCCACTCCCTGTCCATTCCCCTCCCCATGTTCGCCATAATGTCAAGCATCGACAGCTGCAGAGGCGACAAATCCTGCCACAGGGATGACTGGGACGCCTTCGCCCGCGAGGCAGAGGGCAATGAGGAGGAGTTGGCCCTCTGCATCATGTTGTAGCGCTCATGGGTAGACACGGGTGGCAACTCCTGTTGTGCTCTGTCCCATGTCGCCCGCCACCGCAGCGCTGGCATGTCCTGCATTGCGCACAACTCGACACACTCGGCCCGCTTCGCACTGCTGGCTCACCGCCCTCCTAACCCTCTAGCCATTGCTCCTCAACGGCATCAGTGGGTGCTCGTGCTCGCCACACCTGTGTGGAAGACGCGAACACCCGAATCAGATGCGTGTGTTGCTCGCCGCTAGAGGCGGTGGGCTAGGGAGAGGGCGGCGTTGGAGGAGGCAGCCGCACAGTCCTCATGTGGTCGATGCGGATTGCCGGTGTTGCCTGATGAGGAGGAAACCTCCTCGTGTCTATCTACCACCGCTCACTGACAGCAGCAGAGACAGACGCCCGTCGGCTCCGTGGGAAGAACGCCAAGGCGCTACGGCTCGGTATCGAGCAATCGACGCGCGAGGCGGCGGAGAAGGCGATGACTGATGCTAGAGCGACGAAGCTCACGAGGTCGCAGGGTCGCGTCGTCCGAAGGATGCCCCGCTACATTGACTGCCCATTCAACTCCTCCAACATCACCGGCGGCTACGACGACCCCGCTCATGCCGCCGACGCCTACATGGAGGGCTATAGACCCTCCGGTGATCAGAAGGGCGAAGGACGGTGTGGAGGTGATGAAAAAGCTCGGCCCCCTCTCTGTCTTTATTCCCTTTATAGTAATTTTTAGTTTATTAGAACTATGTCCGTCGGCTACAACTACCCTGCTCCTGCCGCCGACGCCTACATGGAGGGCTATAGTCGCTTCGGTGAACGGAAGGCAAAGGACCGGTGAGGAGGTGATGAAAAAGCTCGGCCCTCTAAGTCTTTATTTCCGTTTGTAGTAATTTTAGTTTGTTAGAACTATGTCCCTCGGCTTAACTGTGATGCTCTTTTGGTCCGGATTATGTGGATTTCTTTGTCCGTTTATTTCATTGATCATTTATGTACTATCTTTACGTTGCATGCGCATTATGAATTTAGGATACGAGATATGAGGTACACGACTATGAACGCCGCGATTTGAGGGTTAACCGGTCACTGACCGCGAACATGACCAGCCACGTCTCCATGCGTACAGTATAGTGCCATATTTGGTATGTTTGGATGAAGATGCTCTAAGGCTAAGGTTGATTGTAACTAGGGAGATGATTAGAATCATCCGGTCGATTTTATGCTCTGCATCCATCATGTTGGGAGCCAACCACGCTTCGGACTAGTCCCACACACCGCAAGTCTCAAGATTGTGCAACACGGTCGATAATTCCGAAACATGTGGAATGTTATGGTGGCAACTCAATGGTGCGGATGATTTTTTTTTTTTTTGCAACATAACCTCTATTGCAAAAAAACTGCAACATAACCTTTGTTGCAAAAAAAAATCTACAACACTTTGTTACAAATATCTTCTGCAACATGACCTCTGTTCCACAAAAATTCCATGACACAATATACATTGCAAAAGTGAAGAACGACTAGGTGCTAGATTTATGCCAGATCTGACGGCCCGCGCGGCGTCCGCCGGCCAAACGCGTAGCACTCCCCTTGTAGCTGAGTAATACCACGTCATTTCCCGCAAAAAAAATATCTCTTGAAAATAGTTTTTTTTTTTTGCATGGAAATAGCTTCTCATTCGGACTGCAGAGATGTGACTGAAACGAATAACTATGCGATATAATAACTTAAAACAAAACCAAGACTTGTCTCGGTGATGCCACAAGAAACGACTAGCTGATCAAAGGCACACTCTCCGGCACCGGCATTCCATCCAACTCCCCTGAAGCACGACGAGCTCGCCTTCTCCTCCAATGTCGCGCGGCAGGGACTACGAGACGCCGTCGGTCTTCACTCCGAGCGTCCGTCTTGGTGCCTGCGGAGTCCTCGCTGGGTTGCCCGGCTTCACCTTCTGCGGGTGCCCTGCAACTGCAACGACAGACAAATGTTCAGAAATGGTACGAATCAACACGCACGGCCTTTTCTAAGATCTAACTCTATCTACTGTAATCCAAAAAATGGTAGAGTGCCTACCTGGTTGCCTGGCCGCCTTGCCGTCCGCTTTCTTGGCCGACGGCGGCTTCTTTCCATCGCTGCTGTCCGGCAGCGGCCGCATGGTGCCGTTCGACGCCACCGAGGAAGGGCGGTCCGGCGACATTACCCCAACGCCGTTCTCATCGCCGTACAGCGAGTTCCCTTCGCTGCCCGAGTCGGAGGCCTTGTCCCTGGCCTGCGCCACGCCTGCGATCTTCTCCCTCTCCAACACCTTGTACGCGAACATCTGGAATGGCACGTCCGACACGCGGGCGCCCTCACCTCGCTGCCACGCCGGGAGCTTCCTCAGCAGCTGCATCTCCAGGTCGAGGTAGTCCACGGGTGGCACAACGGGCTCGTCGCCCTGCGCGGCCTGCTGCTGCTGCTCCGGGTTCATGACCAGGAACCGCTTCACGTACCGGAGGACGCGGCAGACGGAGGAGAAGCCCGGCCGCTGCTCCGGGTCGGCGTGCCAGCACCGCTTGGTCAGGGCGGTCAGGTACTTGGGCGTCTGGAACGGGAACAGCGGCCGCTCGCCGGCGCGGATGTTCTTGCTTGTCTTGTCGCCCTGCAGGTGGTTGTCCTCGAACGGGACCTTGCCGGTCAGGAGCTCGAAGCAGATCATGGCGAAGCTGTACACGTCGGCCTTCTCGGTGCGCCTGGACTCTGCACCCGCGACCTCCGGCTTGAGCACCTCGGGCGCGTACCAGATGCAGGCGTTATCGTCGCCGTTGACATTGGCGCCCATTGCGATGCCGGACTGCCCGAACCCGGTGACCTTGACCTGCACGTAGCCGCCGTCGGCTTGCCGTGGCCTCACGAGCACATTGGACGGGTTCAGCTCGCCGTGGTACATTCCCTTCGCGTGCAGGTACTCCATCCCGCGCGCGATCTGCAGCATGATGTCGATGGCGACGATGACAGGGAACGGTGTCCGCCGCCGCGGGCAGCTCACCTCCTTGACGTAGCTTCCCAGGTCCTTGGCCATGAGCTGGTCCATGACCACAAAGTAATCCTTCCTCTCCTCGTCGTGGAAGCAGTAGGTGGCGTGCGCGACGTTCGGGTGCGCCACCGAGGCCAGCAGCTCGATCTCGGCGCCGACGGCCTCGCCGTCCCCGATGAAATGCTTCATCGCGAAGCTCTCCCCCATCCATTGCACCTCCTTGAGGCGGCCGCCTAGCCTCCTGCGGACGCTGTAGTCGTCTCCAAGCAGAATGGACGCCGGGTGCAGCCTCCCCCTGGGCGCGGCGAGGACCTCGGCGAGGCGGTGCTCGTTCTTGGTCAGGCGCTTCGGCGCCGCCGGGCCCGTCATTTCGTCGAGCAGCTGCGACAGCGCCCACCTGTCCTCCTTCCACGCCGCGTCCATCCGAACGACCAGTTCACGGGACACCAAGTAGCGCTTGCCGTGCACGAGCTGGAACAGCTTTGGCTCGAGCATGTCCCTGTCGTACTTGCTGGCGAGCAGAAGCCGTGTCCGCGCGTGATCGTCCGGCTCGGAGCCGGCGATCTCCCCGGCGGCCTCGATGGCATCGACGGCGACGGAGACGCACCACAGGATGTTGTGGAGGTGGTGCTCGACGCACTCCGTGCCGTGCACCATGGCCGCGGCGCGGGCCCACCAGCTGCCGCGCGGGTCGAGGCACTGCCGGACGTAGCCCTCGGCGTCGCGGAGCGCGCGGTGGAGCTCGCGGAGCGGGGACTCCAGGGCGCGCCACTTGGTGCCGCGCTCGTCGAAGCGAAGGTGGGCTCGGACATTGCCGGTGATGGCGTCCAGCGCGTGCGCGCAGGTTTCGGCGAGGAGGCGGCACTGGCGAGGGTTGATGCGGAGGTCGGCCTCGAACGCCATGAGCGCGTTGATGCTGCCCACCACCTCACCGATCTGCCGGAGCTGCTCCATCCCGATGGATGATCGAGACAAGGATGGATCGAGTCTTGGCGTGGTTCTTGAGCAGTGGTGCTCTGGTCTTGTTGAGATGGTACGGCCTCAGCCTCTGCCTCTGCAAGAATAAATAGTAAGACGATTGATTATCTTGAAAATATTGCCATGTAGTATCAACTCAGATTTCACCGTGATTTGAATCGTGGTGTGCTAAAATGTACAGTATTAAATGCAGACAACTGGCCTTGGGGAATTTTTGAAGATTGCAGAGACTGGTTGTTCCCCCCTCTCTGTTTCTTTCTATTTTCTACCCCCCGTCAAATTACTACGTACCAAATTAGTAAAAGAAGAAGCGATCAAGAAACGGAACTTGCTTCACATGCACAGATGAAACAACTGATAGAAAGGAACGCGTGATTAAACACCAAATCGGTAATACTCTGATATGGAACGCTGCCGTGAACTCAAAAT